ATATGTGCACATTTGATAGCTACAATTTTTAATTTAAAGTTATATGTTAGTTTACTTAGTTATGTTGCAGTTTTACAAGTTCCTGTTTTCTGAAGGTCTTTAGAAAAATCAAATAAATTACATTCCTTAAATAAATAAAGTATCTTTACCATCTATAATCCTAAATCCCCGCTTTCTCCCGCTTTCCTTAAAAAATGTAATACTTGACCAACTATAAACCTAAATCCCCGCTTTCTCCGAGTGCACATCCTGTAAGGGCTGGAGGACATGTGTTGGCAACGTGCCTGCCGGCAAGTCAAACATTACGACATTACGCGCTTTCCAATTCACCTGTGAAAATCATTTTCTTCGTTGCGTCGTCAACAAAAAAAAAAAACAAAGAGTCGTCCCGAAGTCAGGGGCGGAATTTTCGGCGAATTTGCCTTGTCAAATGTTGAAGGCGACGTGACAAGCATTAGCTACAGCTACAGCTACAACCTGCGAGCCAACAAACCTACAGAGCCACGTATGAGGACTTGGAGCCTCCAACCTGTGCCCCCGATAATGTCGATGTCGCTGCATGTCCTCACCAACCCTCCTTTTCATATGCGAGAATTTTCCGGAGGTGGAAAATATTTTCCTCCAGCGCCGTGTAGTTTGGCATATCATTTCGTCGCCAATTTGAAAATCGTTGATATGCAAGCGAGGCAGGCGACCTCAAGAGGTGTAAACAGAGGGCACACCTGGGTGGGCAGAGGGGGTGGCGAAATCAAATTGGATTGGGGAACGCCTCATCCCCATCCTCACGTACCTGCCATATATGTATGGTTGGTACCTATGTTTTTTTGGAGGTGGGGCCACCAAAAGTTTCCCCCACCGTGCAAAGTGCTTTCCGATGTTTTTTCGCTGCCCCGAGACCTCAACTCTTTTAGTTGCTCCTTCTAACTGACTAACTAAGAGCCTTAAACTCCAATATTTGAACCACACAGCATAGCGCAGCACAGCACAGCAATATGCAAATGGAAATCGAAATTGAATATTCGAAATTAAATGCGTTTACACAAAGTCGAGTTTGTCGAATCAGGAATTACGGCAAATAAAACTACAATTGATTCGCATTTACATTTCATTGGGTAAATTGCACAATTGCAAATGGCACTGCATGTGGGGGGAATGGGAATGGAAATGGGAATGGGAGCTCAAAAGACTTGAATACTCTAAATAAATGGCATAACATTTTCCCCATCGAACGGGGAGTTCGATCTCGCATGAGAGCACTTTCCCCAGGACTCCTCCTCCCAGATGGAAGATGAAGATGGAAGATGGCCTCAGAAATCACATAAAAATACAGTCAGACAGACGAACAAACTCTCTGGGCACTTGTTGTCGCTGCTCCCCGAACATCTTCGATTTTTATTGCCATATATTCCAACTTATGGCTGCCTGTGCTGTGCTGTGTGCTGGAATAACAAAACGAAAACATTTTGACTTTACTTTTACTTTATGCTCACAAATTGTTTCTCAAATGAACAATTTTAAATTTTCACATTCAATAAATTGCTTCTGGGTTTGGGATGCCAACAAATTTGCTGGGGGGAGCTTGTTTCTTTCCTTTGTAGATGAAAAAAGTTTTTGTCAATTGTGTCGACTTATTATTAGCATTAGCACTTTTTGACTAGCATCAAATACACTTATGGAGAAGGTAAGATGGATTTTTAGATACGAAGGAACATGTGAATCAAGTGATTCTTTTTCACATACATACTATTTCAAAAAATGGTTAGGGAAGTGTTCTCTATCTATGCTAAAAATACATTTTCTTATCTTTTGAATGGATGAGATGTAAGTAAGTGTTTCTGTATCGCGTTTATGTTATTTCAAAAGTGGTTAGTAAAGTATCCTTTGTAGACCATTTCTTAATTTTTTAAGTTAAATTTTATCATGAAGAAAATCTAAGTTACTTATTTCTTTATCACAAACCCATTATATTTTAAAAGTGAATAGAGGAGTATCCGTTTTATTTGGCATATGTAATCCTATGTTCTCTAGTATCATAAATAGCATAACATGTTTCTTCAAGTCACATTTTTAAATGCAAAGTAAACTTTGTGGATTCAATAATCTATATTAATCTTAAATATCATAAGTTTTTTCATAAATCGTATCGAATAGTGCCTTCAATCACTTGGGTTTCCAACTGCCTTACCCAACAGCTAAGCCCCTGAAATATAGTACAATTTCCCCAGCAAGTACTTTTCAAGTGAAAGTGTAGCTGAAGAAAAATGCAAATGACTCTTGATTCCGGTGAAGCGCAAATGGCGTCGAAATTGAAAATCAAGATGACTTCTTCTAGGAGACTCTTACGGAGGGGGAACTCCAGTAGAATGGGCAGAGAGGCGTCATGAATACAGAGACCCACGCAAATAGCAAATACAGGTGCCATTCAGGTGCGTACGCATGTGTTTGTCTCAGACATTTCGATTACTTTTTGAGTGGTTCCACTAAGGTTTCTCTGCTTTGGCCCCCAAATTGCTGCATCCGCAAACTTTGGGGTCTCATGAAATATGTAGACCAGTAAAATCGGTGAGCAGAAGGGGGCGTGGCACACAAAAGGCAGCGCAAATTACTGAAATATGCATGCGACTCGCCATGCCCATTATCGTGGGCTTCCTTTTCCCGGAGAAGTATCGGGTCCATTGAGGCTACGTGCCGGGAATGTCCAAGAGATTGCCCGCCGGACACTCATTCCGGGCAGTCAATGGCATTGGTATTGAACCCACCGCCTCCGCTACGCTTCACATTTGCGGTTTTTGAAACTGCACGCATTTGATTGCGTTATTGAAATTGACTGGACCGGTGGCTTCATTACTATATAGCAATGTTGGGGGCGTTGGCGAGGAATTCAATTATAAATGCCTGCAGATTCCAGGTTGCCTTGGCTTATGAATATAAATCTGCTGGCTGTGTGGCAGCTTCAACTTAATTGCCGTTGGCCTAGGTGGTGGGTCGGGGATGAGGCATTTTAGTAATTATTTACTTGATGATGTCGCCTCGGGCAAAGTTAAATTAAATGAGGATTATGTGAGCTTTTTAATTAACTCAGGCGGTTATATGATTTGGCTTTCCCTTGGTGCCCTAGAGTCTAAATCACCGTAGTTGAAAGTTGAAGTTGGCTTTCTTCCGAAACATGTTGTTCCAAGAATTCCAAAAAAAGACGAAACTGGGAAAATGAACTGCAACCCTTTGAGTCGAAAGCGAACAAAAGCTTAGTTATTCGTAAATTTAAATAGCCGTTACAAGCAAAAAGTGAACCGGTTAAGAGGTTATCGATAGAACCTCTGCCGATAGCCCGTAATCGATCGGATAACCGTTTCTATTCCTTGGTAGCCCTGGTAGCGAACAGCTGTTACAATCGGTAATTAGCAGGTTAAAATTGCGTGTTTTTAAAAACCAAAATTCTCAAATATTATCCAACAAAATGGCACTGCGACGCTGTCATCTGAATCCCAAGAAAACGCTCTTCCTGCTGTGCGATATTCAGGAAAAATTCCGACCGGCTATGCCGCTTTTCGACAACATGATCAAAAACGTCGACAAACTTGTGCGTTGTACTTTGATTTTGATATTGATCTCTTATCTATAGCCGCTGATACTAACCCTAATCCGATTTCAGACCAAGGCGGGCAAGGCTCTCGATGTTCCCCTGATTGTCACCGAGCACTACCCGGAAAAACTGGGCAAAACCGTGGCCCAACTGGATGTGAGCCATGCAAAGCTTGTCTCCGGAAAAACCTTGTTCAGCATGGTTACGCCGGAAGTCAAGGCCGTGATCAAGGATATCTTCAGTGACAAGCCCGAGGATGTGGTGTTATATGGGCTGGAGGTGGGTTACGGTCCATAAAGCAAGGTTATTTTTAAAATATGCAGACAAATTTTGCATGTTCCAAGTTCCTAGTCCAAACTCCTATTTCTATAGTAAAAAAAATTTTATGTAATTCGGAATTTCAGTTATAACAGCTTTAAATCATTTAAAATCCAGTTCTTTTCAAATTAGTTTTTACTAAAACAGTAACCGAACTTCTTAATAGTTCAATAACTAAATGTCTCTTCTTTTCAGTCCCACATTTGCGTGGAGCAAACCGCCATCGATCTCCTGGAGCAGAACATCAACGTGTACATAGTGGCGGACTGCTGCTCCTCCAGGCTGAACCAGGATCGTGACTTGGCCCTGGATCGCCTGCGCCAAGCGGGCTGTGTGATAACCACCAGCGAGAGCGTTATTTTCGACTTAGTCCGGGACAAGAACAATCCAAAGTTCGATGTGGTCAGGAAACTTGTGAGCCAGCCCTCGGTGGACATGGAACTGACGCGCAATGGGAACGGATTGCCAGTGGGCAGTGCCAAGCTGTAAGGGAAAGGGATACCAACCCATTTATTTGTCTGTTTGTGATGATGCCAATTGCATTTATATAACCATCATGCAGAAAAGTGTTTTTCAAGGATGAGCGGGAAAGCGGGAAATGGGCCAAATGGGAGCAGCACCCATTTAAGTTGTCATTTCCGTAACATATTCCAATGGCCCCGCACAATGGGCGAGTCCATATTTGAATTTGCCATTTAACAATAGCCTCGAATGGCCTCCCTTCCGGCGAGCTCCCCTGCCCACTGGCCCATTTCCGCCGGGGTCCTTATTATGCGGATGACAATGCGTATTTTATGTACAGCCGCCACCCTCCATTGATTATAAAGCTGAGTGTTGCCTCGTAACCTTTTATTTGTAAAACACGGAGCGGCAGGAGGAAATCGGTGACGCACTGGCTGGAATATGACCCCTCCAAGGGCTTATTGGACTGACAGGTGGATGAGAATGCAATGCCTGGAGATTAACGGAGTTGAGGGTGCTACCCTACATATGAGCATTGATTAAAGAAAAGAAGTCGGTGCTGATGATAAACCTTTAAACAACTGAAGGTCTCAAATACCCCATATACGAATATGTGTCAAACAACCAAACAAACAGCCATTTTTTAAATATATATATTATATAGTCAAGTTCACGCGATCACTCCTCGACCTTCGGATGAAAGCCGGTTGAATCTGCGATGTATGTCACCCGGATCTGCTTGCCATCTTCGCCGGGAAGAAAGTATTCGCCCTGTATGCCGTTCACATTGCCTTGAGCTTTGATCTGGATGCCATTGCTAACAGAGGCTTCGTACTGGAACTGCCCAGCTCCGTCCAGGTTTTGGCGGTTCTCCGACTTGAGGAGCTGTGCCTGAAAGTCCTCCTCACTGCAGCTGGCCAAAACCACCAGCAGGGCAAAGATAAGAGTCTGTGGATGAAGATGGGTCATCTAATATATCCATAGGTTCGATTTCATTCCAACTGAACTTACGTATTTCAGCATTTTAGAGCAGCTACTTGAAGTGAGACAATGGCCAGCGGCCTTTTATACTACGTCAAAGTTGCCCAGCCCACTAAACGGGTTTCAATCGCATCTGCTAATGACAGAGATTAACCAGACAGCCATGAATATCAAATTTGCGACGGCTCTATAGCGTCTGCTTCTGGCATTAGCCGGCCAGCCTCCCCCAACTAATTAATTGTGCTTTGGTTAGCCCATTTCGGAACTACAAGAACATTTAATCAACCATTCAATTCTCCTTGCTCATGGCTTTTGGTCTTATTTCCTGGGCAGGCTTTGAGTCCCAATCCTTGTACCTTATTTCTGGATTGCCCAGAATCTTAGCCACCCCGTTCAGGTAGTTTGGTCTGTTGTAGCCGGACTTATCCACGGCTTCGTTGCTTTTCTTATCCAAGATATGGGCTGGTATTATAGATGCTTCTCCAGAAATTGGGGCATCTGGAGCTTCATTTGTTAAAAGGGATATTCCCTGATTACGCTTGCTGTTAAACTTCTCCAGATATTTCTTGGCCCCCAAACGGGCAGAAGATTTCAGAGCATTCATGTCCCAGGACACACCCAGTTTCGATTGAATCTCCTCAGAGGCCGCCTGGTCGTTGGTGGAGAACAGTGTCTGGAACATCCTCTTCAGCTCAAGATCTTTGGGATCGTGAAGGGAACGGGAAGACCGTTCATCCAATTTTCCATCTGCATTTACGTTGTTTTTGGCCTCTACTTCCCTTTTGGATTCCTTGTTGAGCCGTAGTAATTCGTTTATTGACAGTTCTGGGCCTGAATTCGCTTGCAGCTGCTGTAAATCCAGTTCGGGAGCGATTTGTAGCTCCTTGGGTAGGTAGCCGCGATCTTTTAGGTAAACAAGTGGCGACTGCCAGTTGTCGATAAGGTCCTTCACAATGGTGTCCACGGAGTTCTCGTACTTTACAACCTTTAAATTACGCTCAGCTGCGACAATATAAAATATAAAACTATATACAATTAGGGAAATCATTTTTGAAGCTTGGTTTTTTAAAATTCAAATTGAGAGCTTGCTATCGATGACTTCGTGGAACGGTATATCTATCGATAGCCCCACTGACAGCAAAAAGTCAGCATCCCTGGTTACAAATCAGCTGTTGTTGTGGGCAAAGCAAACGTAAATTTTAATTTCAATTGCAGTTTATCCTTTATTACAAAGCCCCTTGCAGGTCCTTGGTAGATCGCACGGGACAGCAACTTTATAATGGTCATCACCAACAACACAACACTGCCCGAGGAGTCGGAGCTCGATGTCCAGGAGTTAAATCTTTCGTCGGCGGCTCTGCGGGCGGGCTCCTTCCATTTGGGCAAGCAATGCGAGCAGGCCAATAATGTAAGTACCACCAGATTCCGGGGGAACGCTCCTGGTAGTCACGCCCAGTTGAAAAACAGCTTCAAAAGGAGTTGGTCTCCGTGGAGACGCCAAAATCCGGTCTCTTCAGTTATATAACCTAACCTCAAAACGGAGTGCCTCGGTTTGTTTACGTTTTTGTTTGCCGTGTATTTTCAGGAGTTTATGCTCTGCCGGCAGGAACTGGATGATCCTAGGGCCTGCCTGGCGGAAGGCAAGGCGGTCACCAGCTGCGCCCTGGACTTCTTCCGCAAGGTGAAGAAGACCTGCCATGAGGAGTTCATGCAGTACGCAACCTGCCTGGACAAGAGCAGCGGAACCATGGCCTTCTCACAGTAAGCGACTCCTTAAGCTCAAGCTTAACGATATCTAATGCCAATCCCTCCTCTCTTCCAGATGCCGCAAGACGCAGGGAGTGTTCGACAAGTGCATCAAGGATAACTTTGACTGGGATCGTCCCTCCTACGGATACTTCTCCCGGGCCAAGGTGAGTTTGCAACAAGCATTCTCTAGAGCAACTCATAACCCTCCTGTTTCCAGGTCATCAAGTCAGCTCGCGAAGCTCCCAAGAAGGAGGAGAAGATCTCCTATCCCGATGCCACCCCCGGTCTGCCCGAGGACTACCCCAAGCCGCCAGCCAAGTACGGCTCCCGCTTCCACTGGCTGGAATAAACGGCTGCTAGTGCCTAGTGAAATTTGAAAGCGTTCATCTTAACATAAAACTCTTGGTTCCATTAGTAATCAAATGTATTTATTTCATCGTATCTTCTTCCTCGACACAGTCTGCTTGATCTTGGCCATAATGTCCAGGTACTGGTTGTTCAGGCAGCATCCGCAGTAACTCACGGGGAAGCATGCGCAGCCCTCGATGCGGCGGTGCAGCGGCATGTTCTGGTAGAACACCCACGAGATGTTCTCCTCGCCCAGTACCAGCATGATCTTGTCGAAGCGACAGCCCTGCACCTGGAACAGCTCCACATCGCCGGTGATGATGCGCCACTCTGCGTATCGTATGTTGACATCGGGGGGCAGCTTGGAGCGCTCCCTCATCATCACGTGCTCGAACCAATCGCGCACTTGTATGATCGATCCGGTGGGAGGATGCTTTCTGATCTGGTAGCTGATGCGCGGGTAAAGCGGGTGACTGCGCGAGGGATTGCTAATGAGTTTCTGAACAGTTTTTAAATGTATTCATTACTTACATGTACGGCACATAGGCCAGGCGAACTAGGACGAATTCAACTTTCTCTCGGGGAGCCATCTTGAAGATATATTGTGTTTAGGGCGAACGATGCGCTTCACAGGCACTGCTAGGCAATACTGAAGAGCTTGGTCCAGGGAGCCGACTATATATGCCCGAATTGGCAGGTAGAAACATAGCTTAAGCAGATGTTCCGTCAGTAATCCCAAGAAATGTCCCCGTTTACGTGTCAGATACCTGGATTGGTTTTCTCATTTACAGTTTTATTGCTAAAATGACATTTCTTAGCCTAGACAAGGGAACTTTACTCCGTGTACCACTTGGTCCTCTTAGGTTTCTTAATTTTACCTCCCGTGACCCCGCCGCCTCCTTGATTTCCACTAATCATGTTCTTGTACTTATCAATTAGGGGTCGCAGCTCATCCTTTTCCTTTTTGCGCCCCTGCTTGGGTCGGTTGTTTGCCTTGCGTTCTGCCAGGTGGGACTCCCGTATCTTCTTGTTCTTCTGCTTGCGCTTCTCGGTCTTCACCTTTTTCAAGTGCTCCTTGGCCTGCTCGACAATCTTTTTCTTGGATCGCATCTTCAGCGAAGTGCCTGGCTTGGCCGCCGTACCAACGTAGTCGCCCTGCACATCACTAAGTTGCTTCTTTTCCGTGGCCTTGTCCTCGGCTTTGGCTGCTCGCGATGCCTCCAGTTTCTGGATGTGTTTCTGCAGCTTCGCTTTGTTGTCTGTCTGTGGAGCCAGGGGTTTGGCCTTCTGGCCATTGCGCTTCTGCTGCCGTCGCTCCTTGCGCTGCTGCTGCTTGTCCTTGTAGGTGGGATTGTTTAGCTTGGAGCGCTCTGTGCGCTTCTCTTTGATTTTATGCACAGCCCGATCCTCTATACTGAAGGCGACAATGGGGCGCTAAAAAGAGTTGAAAATGTTGTACTTGGTGGATTTATTGCTAAGGAACTCCTTACACTCTGTGTTCCAAAGATGTTGGGGTTGTTGTTCAATTTCCGCAGGGCTGTCAGGGCTCTCTGATGCGTGTCAAAGGATAGGAAACCAAAACCCTTGGACTTGCCGTCGGGATGCTCGGGGGTAACCTTGTGTTCCCTCATCACCCGGCATTCGTGGGGTCGGAAGCCAGTGTAGGTCAGAGCCATTTGTTTCAGTTTTTCGTTGTCATAGTTCAGGGGCAGATTGTGGATGGACAGGCGATTGCGGGAAACAAACCTGTAGCGTAAATAATTCAATTACAACGAGTCTCTAAAAACTACGTACAATCTTACCGGTTCAAGTTCTTGAGCACCTGCGTCTTTACCTGCTCCAGTTCGTGGCGCTTGGCCATGTCTGAAGCTGAAACGCCATCGGATGCCTTCGCTCCAGCCATGATAAGACCTTCCCTGGCCAAGTACAGGTTCCGCGAGTCCTTGGCGTCATCTTTTTTGTTGTCCTGCGTCTGCTTCGACTTCATCTCCTCTCGACTCAGGGCTGGATGGGGATCCAGGACTTCGTCCATTAGCTTGAATTCCGTGCCAGCTTGCAGGCACAGATCGGCAGACTCCTTGGCCTTGAACTTAACAAATGCTGTTCCCTTCGAGTGTCCAGAAACCGCCTGGCGATTGATGATGGCGTAGTTGACCAAGCCAAACTTCCGGCACACCTTCCGCAAATCGGCGTCCTCGGCGTCGAAGGGCACATTCTTGATGAAGACCGTGCAGCCTTGCTGGACGTCGTTGGAAATTGTCTTTTCCTTTTTGACATTTTCGATATTTAGTTTCGATTTCAGTTCGTCTTTGTCCTCCTTTTGGTCTTCATCATCGTCCTCGTCCTCGTCCCCAGATTCAGATTCTCCCTCTTCCTTTTCATCTTCATGGGATTCCGCATCAGAATCCTCACCGGAATCGCCCTCATCCTCTCCAGCTTCTTCGTCGCTTTCCTCCTTGACTTCCTTCGCGTCGCCGTCGCCATCTTCCTCCTTTACCTCCACTTTTGGTTTCTTTTCGTCCGGCTCCTCCTTGGGGTGCTTGGCCGAGTACTCATCCTTGCCCAGAGCCCAGTCCACAAAAATCTTCCGACCGAGCAGCTCCTTGCCGTTGGAGTGCAGGATCGCCTTGGTGGCCTGGTTAATGGTCTCGTATTGCACGAAGGCGCAGCCCACCAGCTTGCCGTCGCCTCTCTTCAAGATGTGCACGTCCTCCAGGGTGCCCCACTGCCCGAAGTGCTCCCGCATCGAGTCCTCCGTGGACTTGTAGCTGATGTTGCGCACGATGAGCCGAGCCCGCTTTTTCTGGCGGCGTTCCTTCTCCTCCTTCAGCCGCTGTGTGTTGAACGGGTTCCGGCGCTTCCGGGCGCCGGTTTCTGTCGGGGATTCGGCCTCTTCATCCTTTAATGGCTTCATTTTCTTTAATTCCATGCTCGCGCACGTGGAATTTGTTTTGATATTTAATTAGGGGTGGTATGAACAGTCACGACTTGCCATTCGATAGTTGCGCGTGATTAGCTTGACCAGCACGATAAAATAGGAAATTGTAGAAAAATAAAATAACAATTCCATTCTTCCAGCTGCTTTAACGATGTGCAAACTTATAATAAAGAATAATTATTATATGTATACTACAATTTTACGGCATTCCAATCAAATTGATTGAACGGCATTCCAACGTGTACATTTTTTTAACAGTGTACGTTCTGAATACCTTACCTACCCATCTCTAGCGCGCGCATTTCGATATCTTCGATAACAAATTACAGATAGTTATTTAAATAAAACATTTATTTTTAACAATGTACAGTATGAACTTAAAATCTAATTCTCTTGTTTGGTCGCAAACAATTGATGGAACTCCGAGGGCGTTTTAAAGTAGTCCACCAGCAGCATGGAGGAGCGGCTGCCCAGCTTGTACATAATATGGCTCCAGGGATTTAAAAAGTTTTTGTATTCAGCTATTTGTCCCCTTTCAAAATAGTGTTTCACGGTTCCCAGCGGAAGTTGAGAGCCATAGACAGCCACGTATCTAAAAAAAAAAGGAAATATAAGTATATCAATAATAAATATGTATCCAACTAACTTTTCGGAACTCTTGTAGATTCTCAAGGGATATTTCGCCACAAAGGCACGTATCGCCAGATTGATGAGCACAAATCCAGTGAGGAAGTAGTAGAGATCGGATTCCTGGGACACCAGTATGGCTATGTCCATTTTCTGGACCATATTTACGATGTTCATGGTCGTGGCCCAGTGATAGGCGGCCACCAGTCCCAGAATAGAGGTGGTGGCGGTGGATATGTTCTTTGTCCAGGTGACATAGCTCTCGATGGGGGCGCGGTATATCAGTTTGTAGTTATCCGGAAGCCTGTCGCCGGTCAGGAGCCTTCTTTCCACTTCCCCGGAGCCCACATTCCGCCACTTGCAGAGCGAGCTACTTGTGCTGAATGGAGAGGGGGTGTTATTAGCTAAGTTTCTTTAGGTATAACCAGATAATTACTCACTGCAACCCCTGGTACTTTGTTACAGCCGCCAAAGGCCTTAAATTCACCAATTTAACATTTCGTAAGAGAGCCGCACACATTTTCGCTTGTTATTGTGTAGCTATCGCCAAGCCAGTCTGGCAACACAGTCAGCTGTGCGCGGGAGTTGCCGGATCGCACGGTCGCAGTAGCTCCGAATTTAGCGTCAGTTTTCCAGGGGGATTTGAGCCCCACTCCGCCCCCAACCATTCAGTAGGTAAACAACACAGCCGTAGAACAGTCTTTTCCAGTTTCCACATCCTTAGCTAGGAACACGTTCTGTAGGCCGGGTACCGTTTATATTTTTGATAACTTACAGCATGGATTCGAAACGCGCGGCCCTTGATACGGGCGACGGTCCGGTCGCGAAACGCAGTGACATTGGTAGCTCCTCCCGGGAGTCGTCTCCTGGCGACGGGAACCAGATCTCTCTGGCCAAGCATGTGGCCCCGTTCACGGGCAACGGATGCAGTGCCTCGCTGGAGTCCTACTTGTACGATACGACCCCTGCGGGCAGCCAACTGCTGTCGTGGAGCGCTGCCGCAGATGGGCCAACTTCTGATAACGACGCGGAGCTGGAGAAGATCACCCGCGCCAACAGGAAACGTAAGCTGTCATTGATTGACATGTGTCAGATAGCCAGATCCTAATGATCATCTATTGTAATTGCAATCCTCTCCAGCCGATCCCGCCAAGATGTCCCGCAGGGAGCTGGCCAAACAGCGACGCGAGCACACTTTGAAGGCCCTCGCCCTGGAACGCGAGCTGACCAGCAAGCCAGGCCAGTCAGCCGCATCCGTGGTGCTGCTTATCCGCTTCCCCGATCCCGAGATCACTGGTCCCATGCTGGCCAGCCTGTCCAAGGAGATCCGCGATGTGGTCTTGCCCTCTAGTGTAGCTCCACGCTACTGCCTGGTGCACCTGAGGCCCGGCGCAGATGTGGAAGCCACCATTCGCGACATCAACAAGGCGCGCTTTGGCACCGGGTTCCTGCGGGCGGAGGTCAAGCCCTTCTCCGATGAGGAGCAGGCCGAGTTCATTGATCCCTGCTCGCTGTACGTGAGCAACATACCCTTCAACATGACCACCTCGGCCATCAAGGCCTACTTCGCCAGCGCCATGCGCGTGGACATCGGCGTGCTGAAGCGCGAGAAGCGCGCTCGCTACGCCTTCGTGCGCTACGCCAGTCCTGAGCAGACCATGGAAGCGTTCAAGGAGCTGATCGAATCTCCGCTGAACAGCCGCATTCTCACAGTTCGCTACCGCCGTCTTCGAAAGCGCTCCGGCATGCCCATGGTGCAGTGCACCAGCTCATTCCAGACGATCCCCTCGCCCAGTGGCGACGACGACAACGCCGACTGCAAGCTCATTTCCCCACCGCCCGTGGAGTCGATCGTGATCAGCGACAGTGACAACTGCTCCGACTCCAGTGGCAACGGCAAGAGCGGCAGCAAACGTAAGACCAAGATAAGCAAGCAGGAGAAGGAGATTCAAAAGCTCAAGCGCCAAATGGCCGAGTATGGTGCCATCATTAAGAACTTACAAGTCGGACAATCGTGCCTAGGAAGTGAGGATTTCCGTTTTAGTTTGTGAAGATCGTACAAAATAATCCCTTTCCATTTGCAGCTTCATTTATACCTGATCTAACACCCAAAACAGAGCCGTGCGTGAATCCATCAGCTTGTATACTGGGATCCAATGCGGTCCCCCTAATGCGCGACATCAAACAGGAGTGTGCCTACTTAGGAATCCCCGATAATAGCAGCTCCGATATCATACCGGCTAGCAAGCCGACCGCGCCACCACTAGATGACAGCCCGAAGAAACCGAAAAGTATATAAATATTTAATTAAGTGTCCTTCGCCCCTCACATCCCTCCTCGTATCTTACTTAGCAACATGTTTTGGCCGGATGTTTTCAGGTCCCTTCAGACGACGCAAGAGTGCCAGGCAGACAGCTGACAAGTATGAGACCTTAGAGGCCTCGCCCGAGAAGGACGCCAGACTCGAGGAGCTCTACGCTCAGCTGGAATGCGATCCTGATCCTTAAACTGTCATGCTAAGGTCTACCAAATTACTCGTCGCAGGCGATTCTGAGAATAATAATTTAGTTTATTTTTTATTGGATTTCCGTTTGTTTATTTGTTATCTTTTCGTTTTTGTTCAGTTTCTCTCATTTCAGCGTACATTTATGGTATATAAAATAAAATTACACATAATAATACGTAAGTTAAATAATATTTCGGTTTTAAATATTAAACCCGAACAAATATCGCTTAAGGGACTGTCTTAAATATCACTTATACAATAATCATATGTACTCGATGATGATTTTCATATTAGTTTATATATGGTCAAGTCGCGTATCGTTTCGTAAAACTTAAAACTCTTACAGTTGCGAAATCGATGCACAGCTGGAGGAACTCTCTGAAGTCCATGTCCCATGTGCACACATTAACAATTATATCTAAACTAAAGTACGTTCAATGTTCAGTATTTAATTTTTGTTTGGTTCTCTCCAATTCATTGCATATGGCTCGTTAAATTTAATATCGCAATTTGTCATTACCAAAACAGTTGACTACATAAAGAACTTCTGCTATGATATGACTTCTGATCGGTTTGTCGTTAGAATGCGGAATGTTATAAACTATTTCATTATATTTAAGGCTGATTTTATTTACACAACAACAAAAGTATTTGATAAGGCACCTGTTTCACATGCTGATCGCTCAATTTACAATTGATATTCTGTTCGATTTCAATTTGTATTTTTCATTATTTGTTTATTTGGATTTCCTCTCATCGTATTCGATATGATGTTACGCATTTGAATTTCAAGCACTATCGGTATCCAACGTGCGGTAAAATTTTGGAAACTTTACTCGAGTCGCTAGCTTTGTTCCTAAGGTTCTCAAAATGCACTGCCTATAGGTTGCTGGGATCAGAGGCTCTTTTAGCTAACGATGAGCTTGGAGACGAGGCACATCAGGATGGTGGTAATCACAGTGCTAACGACGCCGGTGCTCGACATTTTCGTTTGCGACAAGGCTCCATTTCCGGTCCGCTCCGCCACTTCCGGTGCGATAGGCTCGTCGTTGGACTGATGATCGCCCACGGCTAAGAAAAACGGGTGTTTAAGAAATCAAATTAGTTAAGTTATACGTTAAGCTATTCAGGTTAGGGATGTTCTGTGCAGAAGAGTCTTAGATCTAAGCTAAAGTAGTTTTAGAACTGGAAAAGTTTTTTTTTTTAAGCATAAGTGTTGGGAGTTTTCGAAGGAAGAGGGGATAGAAAAATAAATATAACTTAAGTAACTTAAGGGGGGGTTCAAATAAAAATAATTGATGCAACATACTCTTCACTCTGTAAACTCGTTTCTTTCTATTTGGCTTGGTTTGGCGTTTCGGCAGGCGGCGCAGGTCTTGGGCGTGGCATGTTTTATATATGTTTCGATTGGATGGTATACTTTATTCAGATCAGACAGAGATCACTCAAGCGGGCGATGAATAAACACTAATGCTGGCAAATTACAACTGGGACTGGCTACAACACACGGATGAGCGCGAGATCCTCTAGACTAGAAGAATCTGTTCGTTAGGCCCCACATCCAGCCGGGCAGAAGACCCTGATTCGGATTCGGGTTCGGCACTTGCGGTGCTGTGTACATCAGGTGCGGATATAGGAACCGCAAATCAAAAGGTTTTTAATTTAAAGGAACAAAAGTAGAGAATAGAAAGCATAAATAAAACAATTCTTCGGGATGTGGCATGTAGGTAGGAGGTAGGGATGTGCTCAAACAAACATACGTATGTGGCAGTAATGCGATAGGATCAGGCATTCTACTGGATGATAATACCGAGGAGCAGGAAGAATCAGCTTGGCGAGACTACAACTACACACACAAAGTACGAGCAGGAGGCGGGGGGAGAAAGAAAAGAAAGTAGCAGTCAGAAGAAGCTCTTTTTCGCTATATGCTATATAGGCTATATGCTTTATGGGGCGGCACATTCGCTTTGTAATTCTTCTGCGTGATGTGTCTTTATGTGGGTGGTTAATGGAGTTGGTGTTCGTTTTCGTTCGGCTGTTGTTCTTGTTGTTGTGGTTTTCTGGATGTGTGCTGTGGTTAATTTTTCTTGTTTTTATATCCGCGTCTCTTAAAGCCTGCAAGAAATATACATACATACATACAGACAGATGACAATGGCGAATACGATTCGAGTTTTTTGGAGTGGAGTTCGGCTTTTGGCTTTTGTTGAATGCAAATTAAACGAAAAAAACGATTATGGGCCAGTCACGTGCATGCGATTGTTAAGCGAGTGTCATACAAAATATCCGATTGTGGGTCATAACGGGATGTGTGGACCACATATACAGCTCTATATACCAGGGGGAATTTACGAGTCTTTATAATACCCCCCGACTTTCCTTTCCATGCAGGTGTAAATCTTTTGTTTGCTCTAGATTAGTACGGTTTCGGTTTGTTCATGCAATTAACGTGGGGAATTCAGAAACTCGGGTGTGTAAGTGTGACTTTGGGTGGTGTAAATGGTGTAGGTGGTTCGGTGGGGTGGTGGGTGAGTAGGTGAGTGGGTGGTTTTTACGTGTGGCTCAACCCAGCCACTTAGCCATTTGGAATTTTGTGCCGAGGGTGCCAAAACAAGAAAACGGTTACGCATCAACAATGTTCGAGTTTTTGCGATTTTTTGACTACAGGGTAAAGAGTTTAGTTCAGGGGAGTGGAAAGTCAAATATTAATAGTACCATATCTAGATAAATACTTAGTGCTACGAAACTATGGAACTTGGGTCGTTGGGGCTACCATTTCAGGGACTTGTGGTGTTTAACAAATAGTGTTGCTTTTTCTTGGGGTTAGCCAGTTAGTAACCATTTGCAAATGCTAAGGTAAGTTCTACAGATTAGTTAGTTAGAATGTGCGCATGCTGGGTTCGTGACTTATAGACTAGGAAGATGGTTTTCATTGGAGTTGATCTTGGACCACAGTTAGTGAGACCGACTGACCAGTAGTTTTGGTTGCTGCTGTTGTTGCTGTAGATAATTGCTTTAAAATGTTCTTGGC